GGGGGTGGGGGGGGGGGAAGCTGGAGCCACTGCTGGTCCTGGAACCTCTCCCCACACTGAGCCAGCTTCAGAGCTGGGGGGCGGGGTGGCAGCTGCTGGAGCTTTGCCCCCTCTCCCCAAACCAGCTGTAGGATGGGGAGGGGAAACTTAAGGCTAGGGACGGTCTCCAGATCCTTGTCCTCCCAGACCAGCTGTAGAGTGGGGAGAGGGCAGCTGCAGGCCAGGGGCAACCCCTGGAGTGCTGCCTCCCAGATCAGCTGCAGCATGGAGAGTGCAGATAGATACAGGGGCCAGCCCCTAGAGCCCCACTCCTCTGGACAGGCTGGGGCTGGACTGTGCAGCCCTGGACCCCCAGAAGGAGCTGCTGCCGCAGAAGCACCACGCTTGACTCCCCGGGTGGTCCAGTCTCCAAGCCCCCTGCCCTGAGTCCTGCACTTCCCACCCCTTGCCCTCACTCCTGCACACCTTGCCCTGTAAAACACCCCCTACCCACCCACCCACACACACCAGGAGCTAGGACAGGCTCTGAAATAACACCTAGTGATGATGTGCCATAGATTTAGGCATGAATTGAATACACACACACACACACACACACACACACACACACACACTTTCATGTGGAAATTCTCACAAGTTCAAATGATTCTCTACATTTTTTTGAGCTATTCACGTCTGAACCAGACATCTCAGGAGGCTAACTGCTTGTTTGATAAACCAGAAAAGAACAGTGTTTTTCATACAAGTATTTTAATGCAGGAAATACAAGTCTAGTCAGTATCTTTCCATCCACGTACAGGGGAAGGGATGGATGCTAACTAATGTATTTGAAAGCACTATTTAAATAGCTTTACAGAAGCACCGACCAATCACCATGTCTCCCTTCTTTATAACAGGCTGAGTATTTTCTAAAATCACATTTAATGAATAAAACAGGAACAAAATTAGGAATGAAAACAACAACAAAGTGCCATTTAGAAAGATATATTACACACACGTTTTAATGGTCACTTCTCATCTGGCTTCATGATGTAAAAGAAATTACATAAAATTGAGCAATTATAGCACACACATTAGGGTATGACCAAGAGCTGGGCTTCTAAATTCCCTGAGGGAAGGCATGAATTCCATAGGGAATGACACGTTGTCGGATAAGCTTTCCAGAAGCAACTGACAGGGTGCAGCCAGAAAATAACACCCACCCCACAATAAACAACTTTGAAATGAGCTTTGAGGAAATGGTAAAGTGCAGGCCCCAGGAAACGTTGGCTTTTGAATGCTCTCAGATGCTGCGTTAAACTCTCATTTGCTGGGAGTCCAGAGCAATATTTTAAAAACAATAAAATTCAGGGCATTCTAGAATTAAATCCTGCACTTCTCAACAAAAGAAAGCAGAAAGTGACTCACGATTGGTCAAACAGGCATTAAGTACCTTCCCTACCCTTTTGTTTCTGAAAAGAAAAATCTAAGAAAAGGGGGGGAAAAAAATCTAACAACATATTGATAGCCTGAACATATGGATAGGCTTTCTGAACAAAGGACCAGTTCTGTTATATATGGGATGGAAGACATGGTCTATTTTACAGCACTAAGCTAAAACATATAAACAGAAGTTGGCACTTAACTTTCTGGATAGCCAAGTTTTTGTTCTCAAAAGCTAGCTTTGGGGGCTTTTGAGAGCTGGAGAAAATAACCTACAATGAGAGATTTAAAGAGCCCAATCTGTTTAGCTTCTCAAAAAGAAGACTGAGAGGAGACTGTACTTTCACGGGGAAAAAAGATGAGGTACCAAAAGACTATGTAGTATAGACATAGCCTCAGATGCTTGTCACATACAGGCTGTCTCAGAGAATGACAAAGGCCCCAGCCCAGCCTCAGCTCAGCCCCCAATGTATCTAATTTCCCATCCACAGGGTCATATTAAAACCAAAAATTATGTGAAAATGAACACGAGTCATTTATTTATAATAAGTAATTATATCAATAGCATGTATATTAAAAATGTAACTTTGAGTTTCTGAGCAATGCAAGTAGAACCTAGACCACAGCAACAGTTAAGATCAAGAGACCTCTACAGCATGGGCTGGGAGCCAACTGGCTTTTAGCTCAGAGGGAAGCTCCTTACTCAGCTCTAGAGGTCCCAAGTTCAAATCCGCGTGGTGGTTACACAAGCAAAACTCTTCATTGTAGCAATGCTTTTCTGGCTTTGTGGTGTGCAAACTCGTTTATAATTGAAGAAAAATCTAATTTATGTGCAATATCACTGTTAATATTAAGCAGTGCGAGCCCATTCAAATGCACTTGTCCTGTTGTAGAACGATGATAGTTCTTTACTTGTTTTAACACATTGAATGTGCATTCACCTAAAGCCACTTGTGCAGGGAGACTGACAAAAATATGTAATGCAATTGTGATATTAGGAAATACAAATTGACAGGCTGAGGCCGAATATTTCTTGAAGCAGTACTTTTGGCTTCCAGTCTGATTTAAAGTTGGTGGACTGTATACATTTCAGGAAGATGATCTTGTCACATAGATCTCTTGATATTTCATTGTTGTACCTTTGCAGAAACTGTTCAGGCACTGAAATATAGATCTTCATTGCTTAGTTCTTTGAACTCCCAAAGGACTCCAAAAAGGGTCACATTTGTCACAATGACTCATATTGATGTGTAAGACCAGATTTGATGGAGTCAATAATAACAAAAAAAACCATTAACTCAATAGTACCTTTCTGCATCAGATTGAGATGTTAGTCTGCGATTGGTAGAAAACTCAGATGAAATGTCAATACCCTGTGCCACTGATTTGGACTCAGAAAGGATCGCACCCCATTGATCATGAATTTTTTGAATATCTTTAAGAAATCGTTCAATATTATCCCTCTCAACATCTAAAATAGCATTGTGTGCTTCAAGTACAAGATTAGTTTCATGGATCATTTTTAGCAGTTTCATCCTCATGGACGACATTGAAATGCATTCAAATTTGGATGTACGCTTCTGAATTGACTTAAGCTCAGTATGAGTCTGTGCTGTGAGAATAAGAGATTCAAGCTCACTTGAAGCCTTCCTCACAGAGTCCAAATGCCGTGCAACTGGTTTAACACCATCAACTCGTGTTGACTATTTTGTTGTTGACCTGCCATGAAGGCAAACAGGCAGATGCTACTTCAGAATTTCCCACTTACAAGGGCTGCTACTGAAGAGATTGTACAATTGCTAAATTGTTCCAGAATATGTGACTGCTTCCTTGCACGAATCAGAACAATCAACCCCAACAAGATTTAGGGTATGGTTGCCACAACTAGAAAAAATACAGTTTGGATTTTGCTCAAGAAGGACTGCTTGTACTCCATTGTACTTCCCAGACATATTGGATCCATTGTCATATGCTTGGCCAATAAAGACTTGAAAATTTAATTTGAAGCCTTTCAGAACTACTAAAACACGAGTGGTGATTTCTTTTCCATTTTTTTATGTGTGAAATTATTGAACAAAATGAATCATTCTTCAACTGAAACCTTTGAGCTTCCTGCAATTTTAACATACTGACCGACCAAGGTCATCTGTTCTTTATGAGAACAGTCTGGAATTGCATCAATACTAATTGAAAAGTACTTGTGTCTCGTATCTCTTCAAGAATTGTTGTTTGCACAAATGTCCCACACAGCTCAAACTTGTTTTGAATTCTGGTAGACAGATAATGGATTTGCATGCATTTTCCGCTCTCTTGTGATTCACAAACATGCTTAACATGGCCTGATAAAGATGGGTCATACTTGCTAAGAAGCTCAAGTATGCCAAGAAAGTTTCCATTTGTAGAATCACCGATACGTTGACTGGAACCAAACAGATTACACAGTACAGAACCTGCTTCTCCATGCACCAGCAGAGCCAGTTTCTTGTGTAGATCTCTCCATTTGGAAGAGTGTGTGTCAGCAGATGAGTGGGAAAAGCATGATTTTCAGCATCTTTCGGTATATTACTTGGAATATGAAAACAACTAACTTTGAAAAATGACTGTGTTTGATCAACATTGTTCTTATCAAGAAGTCCAATATCAGGTTTTGATTCCACTGTTGTTATACTATGTCCTAAAAGCTATTAGTTATACAAAATTTTAATTGTATAGACTTTGCAATTAATATTATATAACAGTAGTTCAGGAGGGATATTTACTATGGTACTAAAAGCCTTATTTCAAAGTCTTGAAATTTCATCTGTTAACATGTCCCCATTATTAAATTCCTCTAAAAACTGTGCATTATTATGAATATGAATACGGGGTGATTACCAGATTAGAAATAAAGTTTATTAAACAACTAGAATGAAAAGTTTATCAGCACAAAAAAGACTTTAAAGGTGAATCTAAAACTGGACAAAGAGGTAGTTTACAGCTTAACAGGATATGGTTATTGTATACGAAGACATAAAAAAAAACAGGAATACGAAAATCTCCTAAAAAAAAGATATACTGGCATAGAAAAGGTTCAAAGAAGGGCAACTAAAATGATTGGGGTTTGGAAAGGGTCCCATATGAGGAGAGATTAAAGAGACTAGGACTTTTCAGCTTGCAAAAGAGGAGACTAAGGGGGGATATGATAGAGGTCTATAAAATCATGAGTGGTGTGGAGAAAGTGAATAAGGAAAAGTTATTTACTTGTTCCCATAATATAAGAACTAAAGGCCACCAAATGAAACGAATGGGCAGCAGGTTTAAAACAAATAAAAGGAAGTTCTTCTTCACACAGCGCACAGTCAACCTGTGGAACTCCTTGCCTGAGGAGGCTGTGAAGGCTAGGACTATAACAGGGTTTAAAAGAGAACTAGATAAATTCATGGAGGTTAAGTCCATAAATGGCTATTAGCCAGGATGGGTAAGTAATGGTGTCCCTGGCCTCTGTTTGTCAGAGGGTGGAGATGGATGGCAGGGAGAGAGATCACTTGATCATTACCTGTTTGGTTCACTCCCTCTGGGACACCTGGCATTGGCCACTGTCGGCAGACCGGGTACGGGGCTGGATGGACCTTTGGTCTGACCCAGTATGGCCTTTTGTATGTTCCTATGCAGAGATAAACATCTAATTTAAAGGTTAAACTCACCCTCAGACCAAGCAAAATCACTTTATAGTAACAGAACTAATTGCGACTTTCAAAACCTCTAAAACTATGCAAAGACTGTAAACAAGGTTTCATAACGCAGAATCACTAATCACAAAAGCTACTCCAGTCAAGCAGTTGGAAACTCGGATGTGACTGAAGAATTGGCAAAGGCTGGAGGTACCCCAATGATTTAAATCAATTTTTGCTGGTATATCTAGCTTCTTGTGTTGTCTCTATTGTAACTGCAAGGTGTATAATAAATGGAAATGACTTGGTAGAAAAATGTCAAAATTTGAGGCCCCTTTTTCTCCCGAGGCCCAGGCCAAGTAGTCGTCCTGGCCCCCTCTCTGATAGGGCCTGGTCATGTAGCTCTGCTTCCTGCTGGTAAGTGCGGAGGAAGACCATCCCCTGAGCAATGTGGCCAACAGCTGGAGGAGCAGACCAAGGGAACATCGCTTCTCTTGTTCCCCCACCACTGCCAGTGAGTGTGGCAAAGTGCGCCCCCTGATGTGGATGCCAGGCTGCCCACTAGTACTCCATTCCTCGGGCTGCTGAGGCACTCTGACCTCTTGCCCCTCCTGCTCATGGTGCAGGGGGGCAGAGGGGGACATGTTCTCCCTTGTACGTCCTTCCCGCCTCCCCTTCAATGCATCAGCCCTGAATTCCCCATGTGTGGATGTCCCCAGATTGAGGCAAGATGCCTTTCTGGAAAACATGCACTGGCCAAACACAAGTTATTGGGATTAATTCAGCGTGAACTGAATATGTCCTATGACAGGAGGTCAGACTAGATGATTTAGTAGTCCCTTTTGGCCTTACAGTGTTTTTATCTATGAGTCAATTATACCACAAATATGTAACAACAAGAGCAACATTAATTTAACTTACCTCTACAGATGTGCAAAAAGACACCAATTTAGTGAAAGAAAGGCCCTAAACCCCACTCCAGAGAGAGTTTAAGTCCCACTGAATTCAATGGCAGTTAATTAAGTGCTTTCCTGAAATGAATTATATGTACTGAATCAATATCAGGCATGCTTATCAAAAATCCAATGAAGCCAATGGGAGTCTTTCTTTGAAATCAAGACCTGTCTCCTGGCAAAGTGACACCAGTCTCTTCTTTCTGTTTCACCTTTTTTTGTTTCCTGATATATTATTAATGAGTTTGAAACCTTTTCTCCATTTCCTCCAAAATTCAAGCTCAGAGTTGGGGAAAATTCCCATCCTACTGGCATGTAAGAGGAACTGGTGACGTGGCGCATGATTAAAGGTGCTGAGTGCTTGACATTATAAAATCCCGTTTTCAGTGGTTAATCGCTTTGCAAGCTGTTTGGGGGTGAAAGTGTCCACACTGGCGGTCTGCCTCAGGCTGAATTTTTTAAATATTTGGTTTTTTATTTCAGCCACAATGGGTCAGCCTTTTCCAAGAACAATGCTTGGAAAAAAGAGAGATCTTTCTGGAAAACATGCACTGGCCAAACACAAGTTATTGGGATTAATTCAGCGTGAACTGAATATGTCCTATGACAGGAGGTCAGACTAGATGATTTAGTAGTCCCTTTTGGCCTTACAGTGTTTTTATCTATGAGTCAATTATACCACAAATATGTAACAACAAGAGCAACATTAATTTAACTTACCTCTACAGATGTGCAAAAAGACACCAATTTAGTGAAAGAAAGGCCCTAAACCCCACTCCAGAGAGAGTTTAAGTCCCACTGAATTCAATGGCAGTTAATTAAGTGCTTTCCTGAAATGAATTATATGTACTGAATCAATATCAGGCATGCTTATCAAAAATCCAATGAAGCCAATGGGAGTCTTTCTTTGAAATCAAAACCTGTCTCCTGGCAAAGTGACACCAGTCTCTTCTTTCTGTTTCACCTTTTTTTGTTTCCTGATTTATTATTAATGAGTTTGAAACCTTTTCTCCATTTCCTCCAAAATTCAAGCTCAGAGTTGGGGAAAATTCCCATCCTACTGGCATGTGTTTTATTGTAAGAGGAACTGGTGACGTGGCGCATGATTAAAGGTGCTGAGTGCTTGACATTATAAAATCCCGTTTTCAGTGGTTAATCGCTTTGCAAGCTGTTTGGGGGTGAAAGTGTCCACACTGGCGGTCTGCCTCAGGCTGAATTTTTTAAATATTTGGTTTTTTATTTCAGCCACAATGGGTCAGCCTTTTCCAAGAACAATGCTTGGAAAAAAGAGAGATATTTTGCCCATGTTAAAAAAAAATGCTGGCACCCTTTTCTGTGAACTCCTCTAGCTTTGGAATAGAGACTTGATTTTTGTCTGGGGGTGGGGCATGGCCTTTTTGCCAGGGGGATGTATTTTACAGTCCCTCAGGAAATCTATCCAGATTTGGTCAAATTATAAGACTGGGGTAGGGAGGAGGGGGCAATCACAGTTTGGGCATGGTCCATTGAGAATTCTTTGATTTTAGCAGCTAAAAATCTCCAAAGGTTTTGTCCTCATTGAGCATGTTCAAACCTCTTGTGGCCCTTAACATTGGCACCGACTTCATGGGGCAGGAGCACCTTCCTGACCCCCTCCTGCTGGTTTCTGATCAGCTGTTTGATGGCAGGCAGAAGTCATGGAGGAGAGGGGAGGGAGAAGCGGGGACAGGGAGTCAAAACATTGCCAGGGAGAGCTCAGGAGAGAGGGTGGAGTGTGTAGGAAGGGGCAGAGCAGAGGGAGGGAAGAGGCTGGGTTAGGGTTGGGCATTGGAAAAAGGGGGGAAATGTGGGTGGGGGCAAGAGAGAGTGGAAGTTGAGTCTCTCAGGCAATGTTCCCTCTAATCTTTTCCAGCCACATGCGGAATACATTTTGTTCTGTGCACTGAGGCATGAGTAAACATGCACCACCAGTAGAAACCAAAAACCTAGCTGTGGATGCTTTGGGAGCCTCCTGCTGGCACTGAGACAGCCTGAAGGAGGAAGCTGTGGGCCTGAACATAGAGTGCACAAAAGAAAGGCTGGGAGGAGAAACAAGAGAAAATGTGTGATCATGTAATTAAAAACGGTCTTATAACACATGCACACAAGGGGGCTGAATTAAGGCTGCACCAGCAACCTTAATTCTAGCATCTCCTAACTTTGGAGTGCTCACCTTTGCAACCTTCTGAATGTTCTTTCAACAGTTATTTTGGGTGTAATATGTATAAATAACCACCCAACACCAATAGTCTGATGTACTAAAGACTGGAATCCCCAAAGCCATCCCCTTCCCCCAGACTGGAATCCCCAAAGTCATCTCCTTCCCCCAGACTTACAGCTATCCCCCTGCACAAAGAAAGAACAGGAATAAACACAACACTGACCCAGAAGCTGTCTTTCACCTTGGGTATTTTCTCTCTCTTTCCTTCTTCCACCTTCTCTGACTGTTTCCAGTTCCTCTCAGCCAGAGATTGATTCTTCCTTTCTATTTACTCTCTTGTTTCTCTTCCCTTTTTCTGCATCTTTCCTCTTCTGATAGTCAGAAGAAAATAAAACACTCTCCGTATTTCCTTTATTTTTCATCTCCACTCCCGCTCGTCTCACTCTTTGCAGTCCCTTTCCAGTGCCCCTCAGCTCTGTGACCTTTTCTCCCGTCTTCTATTACTCTTCCACTATGACCATACATTCACCTTTGTCCTCCCTGTTCTATTGTTCATTTGTTCCCTGCTGGCTTGGGGCCTGCTCTCTCGCTTCCAATTCCTGGCTCTGTTGGTATTCCTTTCCTCCTGTGCTTCAGTGCCCTGTGTCCCGTTCCTCCCCCTCCCCCCCACACACACACTTCTTTCTCTCCCTTGGTCTGTTAACAAGTCCCCATCCTTGCACCCATCTCATTCCCCACCCCAATCCTGCTGCTTTCCCCCTTGCCCACCATGTTTCTCATTGCTCTTCTCTTCCCCGCCACTTCACATGGATCCCGTTCATCTTTTCTCCCCACACCTCCCCTGCATGTACCTACCTCGTTATGTCCCCTCCTCTCTTGGGGAAGAATGAGCACACACAAAGACTCATCTTTGTGCACTGCTATTGGCCTCCTCTGCTCCTGCACTCTGTGCAGCATGAGCCGAGGCCTGACGTGGGTGGGAGAAGAGGAGCCAGTTGTGGAAACTCCATGAAACTAGAAGAGACATCTGACCTCTACCTGACAGAAGCAATAAAACAAGACTGGAATCCATGCCTCCCTCGAGGCCTGGCTCCTCCAGCCTCACACCAGCTCTGCTCTGAACACGGCCTGACAACATGGGTGCACCAGGCCAGTACCCTTATTCAACTGCATATATTGCTTGGGAGAAGACTGGCTATGGTACAGCCACACATCTGCTAATGGCAGCTCATAAAGAAAAAAGAAATCTCCTTCAGTTTAAAGTTCGCCTTTTATTCCCCCCTCTGCTTCAAAAGACAGACTCTGGAGCACCCTCTGCTATAGTATGTGCCATTTACTTCAGTAAGGCTGATTAAGTCTTGCATTTACAAGTAGGCCTTCCATCAGAGCTAATTCAAAGCAGATGTGCTGGGTTCCACAGCCAGGGAGGCATCCGTCTGAAAGCTGCAAGGGTCTCTTGTAAGAGCACTGTTTTTACTACACTTTATAGCACACTGGGAGGAGGTTAATTGGTGTAAACGTTTAATTTCAAATAAGGATCCCCTTTTAAAGTTGTATATATGCAGATCCTTTTTATGGAGCCTTATATTACAAAGTCAAAGGGAGGGCTGAAGGGGGAAAATAATCACCCCAAAAGATTTCAGGATCAAAGACATCCAACCTGTCAAACACTAAGATATTTTTATGAGGAAACAGAACTCACATTTTCTCCAGAAGACACAAAGAGAAGCAAAGAGTGGAAAAATATTTAACTAGATTCCATGTTATATTAGGTGGGGACGTAGGAGGGGAAATGCCAGTGCCAAACATGTTGGTTTCAGAACCCACTTGGCTTCTTCAGTCAGAAATATTGGCAAGAGAAAACGCTGTGCTGGGAATATTTATGATAAAAGTAATAGATTTGCACAGCTTAACAATGGCAGGAGGATTAAAAACTATCCGTTTGCTCCTTCCCGTAGCTTGCAAACATATTTTGGTTTTTTGCTTGTGAGCCAGCGTAACTATGCTTATTCCCTGAAATTATCATCACTCCTGGCTTAATGTAGTTTTATTATCTGAGTGCTGCTATACGGATGGATTACAGCCAACTTCCTACAGTAAAAACACCACACGTGGGGTCTGCAGCTTGCTTTCAAAATCTTTATTTAGATTTACATTTTATATTTATAAGTAGTGTTTGCATTTTGTTTGGTTAACAACATTTATCTTAATTTTCAGGTCAGTTTTTCCATGGGAAGGTAGCTTGCTGCATTTGTTTCCAGGCATGTTTTCTCTCACTCATGCGGGGAAAATATCATTCATTACTTATATTACAGTGGCACATAAAGCAGTGATGGGTAACCTAAGCCAGTAAGTGGGCCGCATGAGTGGTCCTTCCTCTCAGTGGGCTGCAAGACTGTCGTAACAAAGACAGTCTCCTGTGACAGGGTAGTTTTGCTCACTGCACTTGCATACCTAGAATTTGCAGGATGTGCCAAGTGAACCATAGCAGCGTGTTGATTGGATCCAGAGGGAGCTCACGGCTCTCAGAGTCAATGTGTGCAATCAGCCCGCACCTCACTTCACTTGCCCTTGCTTTATGTGCGTGTCATTTTAATGTAGGAAAAAACGACACAGACAGACACCAGCGGAATCTGGCAGCCTTGCATGTGGGCAATGGTAAACAAAATGTCACCTAGGCTACACATAACTCCGATGGGCCGCAGGTTGCCCACCACTGACGTAGACCCTCAACTGAGATCAAGGCCTCATGGTGCTAACCACTGTCTAAACAAAATAGTGTTGAAAGATCCAGACCCAAGACAGATGATGGGAGGCCTGTTTATTACTCCTGGTTTATAAATGGGGAACATTAAGTGATTTGCCCAAGGTCACACAGGAAGTCTGGGTCAGTGTCAGGAATTAAAATCCAGATCTCCTATGTCCCAGTGCGGTGCCTGAACTGTGCTGCCACAGCTCTGCGCAAGGTTGCTTACAACCAGCAAATGAAATACAGATCAGGAAGATGCCAATTGTGCGAGGGCTGATCAACTGAATCTCTTGACCTAGTGAAGACGAATCATTTGATAGCAGAGAAACATTACACAAAAGAAGTCTCCCTCCTTTACTTCCACTTTCCCCATCATATTAGACCAGGACTGGGCAAGATGAGGGCACCTCACACTTTGATCTGGCCCATCGACTTTATCAGGCCACTTTCTATTTATATTCCACTGCCTGTGCCACCGAATTTCCAGGCAGCACGCAGGCAGCAAGATCCTTTAAATAGCTTCAGCAACTCCGGGAGTCTGCCAGGCAACATGGCAGCCGTGGGCCGCAAGTCGTGAGCCCTTTGCGGTGTTTTTAATTCAAAGCTTCCAGCCCCAGATAACTCTGGGGGAGGCTACTCCTCAGCCCCGCGCTCTCTGCCCCAGGCCCCGCCCCTTCTGCGGGGGTGAAGCTAGCCCATGACCATGTACCAACGTTTATTAAGTGCAAAAATTATTGCCCACCCCTGTCTTAGACCCAGTCACTTGCAGGTCCTTATCAGTCTTTCAAGGCCTCAGGACAATTTCTGGATCCTGCACATCGAAGAGGTGGATATTTACCCTGAGAGATATTGTGAATGCCAGCAGCACAATTGGAGATGCAGGACTTTCCACATCTGTAGGGGAGGAGTATCAAGAGGTTGCGGCCACTAGGAGGAGCTGTTGCCATGGGCAGTAGGAGAAACAGATTGGGAGGGTTTTACACTTTTTAAAGTGTAAAACTTCTTGATGAGTTTTTTCTTTTCTCATAACCAAGAGCAGGCATGTAGAACGACTTAAATCCTTATCCTCATGCACTGGACACAGAGTAGCACACACTCAGATGGTTACCACCAGGAGTATGCCTACATTGCAATTAAAAACCCGCAAAAAAAAAAAGTCGTCCTGTGGCACCTTCAAGACTAACAATATATATATATATATATGTATATATAATAGTATCATGAGCTTTCATGGGCAAAACCCACTTCCTCATTTTTTGTTAGTCTCTATGGTGCTATAGGACTACTCGTCATTTTTTTAAAGTTACAGACTAACAAGACTGCCCCTCGGAGGCTTTTAAAAACCTGCAGTTAGCCCATGTCAGCTGCTGATGCTTACGGGGCTGTTTAAATACAATGTAGATGTTCAGGCTTGGGCTAGGACTTGCAAGGTGTGAGTATCCCAGAGCTCAGGCTACAGCCCAAACCCAAATGACTATACTGCAATTAAATTTGTCTTTAGCTGAGTCAGCTGGCACAGACCACCCATGGGTGTCTAAATGCAGACTAGAGATACCCTTAAAAAGTACCAGTTTCAAGGGGTTAGCAAAATCATTATCCACAGGGTAAAATTCACCCCACTATAGAGGATCTGCACAAGAGCCACATCAGCCCTTTATACAATGCTTTAGTAATACAAAGGAATTTGGGTGCACAAGGGGTGAATATTATCTGTAGGCAAACAAAGTTAACAATCTTATAACATATTTGAATCAAAACAGGCAGAGAACACCAAGCCAAATCAGTCCTTGGCATAACTCTAATGATTTTAAGAAGAGAGTTACACCAAGGATGAATTGGATTCAATGTGTTTTTAATTCAGTATTGATGCCAAGCTGTAACCATTCCCATGTGAAACAGGCAAACGTGTTTCTACCATACACCAAAAAGGACTAGTGAAATGCAGAATTCTGAGGGTTTTTATTTTGTATTAAGTCTTGCAAACACCGCTGATTCCCAGGTGAATAATGTAAGAATAAATTATAGGCAGGAAGAGTTGGCAAAAATCTACAGGGGACATCCATTTTCAAATAAATCAGCACAGATCACCCCATGCTGCCCTTGTTTTTCTCTTTCAATTCCTTCCCTCTTTTAGTAATATCTGTTCCAGTCTCCTCACAAGCTCTCGACCTCTCAGGCAGTTCTAGGCCACAGGCCAATTAGCTGACCCCCAGCTATTGGGATATACATTTGTAGAGTTCAGACAGCCCAGGGGAGAACAGAAGGTTACACCGTAAACAATAAGCAATTGAAACAACTGATTATACACACAATGTTATTGTACTATAAAAGTATGTCAAGTAAGGTCTTTTATGAACGTGCCTAATGTTCTGAATTGGATATGTATAAAGACCAGGATTATGAATATATGCATTTATCTATATATAAATTGTGCTCATAATTTGTTCAGCAATATTCAGCTCCACCTCACACTGGAAGAGGCTGGCTCCAAGCACTTAGCATTGTTCTAACCAAGACAAATGGCCATTCAGGTTAATGGGAAAACACTAAAACAGCTTGAATCTGAAAACAAAGAACTGATCTTGGAAAACAAAGAAAGAACAGTTTTCCCCACTTGGCTTATCTATAGTGTCTGACATGAAAAAATAAACTGCAAACCTTTAAAAATGGCAGAAGGTTGAACTGAAGAGGATCCAGAACTTGAGCAGTCTTGAAGAGCAGAGGCTGTCTGTGAATGCTAAATCTCCCCTACAGCTATAGGGCATGCTGGGAAACTTTTCAGAGGCAATAGGTGACTTGTATTAGAAAAGGAATTTTTTTCTAATATAAAAGTGTAAAGCCTGGAGTTGCATCTTTATGTTTATTTTCTGTGTAACATGTATGCAT